AAAAACCACCTTAAAATTTCCACATCTTATAGTGAAAATCAAATCACAGTTTTTCCTTCAGTGTATTCAAATACTTTAAGTAAACTGATGGAATAGGAAAATATAAAGGTGACTTAAGATAAAACAAGAAAGGATATTGGAAGCTTTAATGGAAATGCCAGAATATGTTTATTCATAGATTTCCCAGAAATAATGTTTATAAGTCTGTGTTCTATGGACATAAATATTTGTAAAAATAGTTTTGCATTTCTCAAATTTTAGCATATGTTATGATGCAAGACAATTGTCCTCTCCCAGTTAGCCATTTTTTTAAAATGTTCTACAATTAATTTTATTTGTTGATATCTTCATATTTCCTCAAAATATTTTTTCCTAGTAGGAGTACACATGTGGGCTAACATTGTTTTGTGTAAAGCTTGGATATTTTTTAGTTTATATCAGTTATTCTTGGGGAATTATCACATCCTTGTGATGCTTTTGTGCTTAAAGAACTCCTTCCTATCCTAAATAGTATAAGGAGAATGTTTACCTATTAGTTTTAATATTTTCAAATTATTTCAGAACTTAAGTACTAATAATGCACAGGAAAAATCAGATATTTCTGTATCAGTTCTGATTTTTCCTAGTATCTTAAGTCATAATTTATTTCCACTTTAAGAATAGAGTCACCCACAGGATAAAGGAAGCAGAGCATGCCAGCCAGCTGAGCTGGGTTTTATTACTGTTTTGCCTCTAAATAGTCAAAGCACGCTGATGATACATAAGGTCCTAATTTTGAAATATTACTGACATCAGCATTCTGTATGAGGGCAAAAGGGCAGCTCAATCTGCAAGCCACAATTTCTATAAGCTCTATGGATGTGCAGTATTACATTTTTTTCTTTATGGTGCTGCTTCCCCAGCAGAGGGAATGGTGTGAAATAGAGCTTTTCAGTATGTGGCCGAGTGATTTTTAAATTCCATGAAAATGGAGCTGAGTACTCCCCACATTCTATTTCTATTGCCTATATTCAGTCTCCTCAGACTCTGGATATATTACAAAACACCAGAAATTCTGCATACAAATTTGATTGACTCATTAGCTCTGATATCACAATTGCCTACCAGTATTTAGTCTTGCTTAGTTAAATAAAAATTACTGTATAATAAGAAATACTAAACTTCACTTTTCTTCTTTTTGAGCAGAGGTTTATATGCAGGAATTCTACAAATAAACTTCAAGAACACATAATATTTTCTTTTTTGAGGTCATTAGCTGAAAAAAGACTGACATATGCTAAATGGACCAACACGTTTCTTATGGGAGTGAAATTTTAATTAAGTTTAACTCAGATTAATTAACTACCTTGTAATCTCACAGAAACACTAATTGTTCTCGCAGGCTGAGCAGTAATTTTGGGATAACGCATTACATTCATCGCTTCCAGCAAAAGTCTTTGCAAGGTGGCATTTGGTCAGCACAAGTAGTGCATCAAATGAGATTCTCCCTGAGATTTCTCCAGGCTGGACTGTCCCACACCCACCTTTTCCTCATAGGAGAGATGCTTCAATCCCTTGCCTTTTCTTATGGCTCTCCCCTGGATTTTCTCCAGTCTGTCCATCCCTCTCCCGTGCTGGTGAGCCCCACCGTGGACACAGAGCTCCAGGTGTGACCTCACCACGCTGAAGGCCAGCATCACCTGGCATGTTTGCAAACAGCACAAAGCTTTGAGAAATTCAGTCTGGTTTATCTGTTTATTTATTTATTTTCAGCTACATAAAATATCCAGCCTGGCCTCCAGCTCCCAGCTAGAGGACAGCAGGTCTCACTTGGATCAAAAGTCATATCTGGCAGCCTTGTAAGTCTGTTTGGATGCCTGCATGGTAATGAATACTTCATTTAGCAGCTGAATCTTATTCCCAGTGTTTGGTTTAATTTTTTTTTCTCATTTTATCCCTAAACTTTTTAACTTGTTTAAAAAAAATTTTTCAAAATATTTTCATCACTAGTTGTTTTGACAGCTGCTACTTGTTTATTTGTAATCTTTCATGCATTGCATATTTTGTTTTCTTATTCATCCCAGATTTTTTCTTAATTCTAAAAGAATGCCACCGTACTTTCTTGTGTTTTAGGACCTCATCTGTCTTTAAAATATCAGGTATTCTGAGTAGCAGCTAACCAGAAAATAATAACCTGATACTGATACAATAAGGTAGCAATCCAAATATATCAGAGATCAGTAATTTGCTGCAAATAAGTTGTTATCTCCTCTTCTTTACTACATTAGCTTTCCCACACCACTGAATCTAGCATTGACTGTGGCCCTAACTGCTGGACCTTTGGGCTCATCTTTCCTTCCAAAGGGCATTTATCTTTCTGCAGAATGAAGATTTGTGCTATTATCCACTAGGAACCCTTAGTGATGTTAAAGTGATTGTAGAATGCAACACAGTTTCAGGTTTATACAAACAGCTGTACTGAATCCTGTTGCATGTGCTTGCATGTGCCATCCCACAATTACAGCAAATACTAGCAAATATTGCTAGAGCAAAAATATTTTTTACTGTTTTGAGGCAGCAGACTACAAGTAGTTCGAACCCAAGTAATGACCTACCAGTAGGGTCTTGGCCATTTCTGCTTTAAATGTATTTTTAGTGAATAGACCTTTAAGAAATCAATGAAGGCACTGAAATGGTCATTTTTCAAATGGCTAATCTCTTCTTCAGCTTTTCCATTGTATCAGATATCAGGATCATTTCAGGCTGAAACACAGCCTACTTTTCTCTCTCAGAAAAATCTTTTATTTCTTTTTTATCTCAAGTTTCAGCTTCAGCTAATGGATTTGGGCAGCCCTTGGAATTTACATACCCAATACCTTCCAGATGACTTTGAATTCCTTACAAAGACATGGAAAAGGAAGTTACATTTAAAGATGTTAATTATTACCAGCTATATCTTATGGATTTCACATACACAGATGTCCCATCAACTTAAATATAGACTTATTTTTTCCATCTCTGTCACCAGTGAGGATAATTTATTTGTAGGTTTTATGGAGTACAAATAGTAGGCATAGTCCTGATATATCACTTATCACTTTCAGAACAACAACATTAAGAAAAGAAAAAAAAAAATAATCTCAAGAGTCAGGGTTTTGGAGTTTTTTTTACATTTTTAAATATTAAATATTTTCCAGAGTCAGAACAATGATTAGACATTTAAAGTAAACCCCTGGAAACTGAGTCACCTCTACCTTTTTAACTTCAAATGCTGGCTTCTTGTTGAATCTTTTGATGTGATTCTTGGAACCTGTCAATCTCTCACGCACTGATCATATTCTAGAAATGTGGAGTTATACTAATAACTAATAACTAATTAATAACTAATAACTAATTTACTAATACCCTGGTGCTGTAATGAGCCGAGGAGAAAGGAATTTTGTGGTCTTTTGGTGTCCCTGTGGAATCTTTGAATAGATTTTAGCTCTCCTAGAGTACAGATGGAGGGATCCACCTCTGTTAGTTGAAGATCTACACATATTAGTGAGGTGATATACATCAGAGCTATAAAATCACCTATTACTTTATTTTCATAACAGCAATAATAAAAGGTCTTGCCATAATGATTGTAAGAAACAATCCTTGAGTTGACAGATTTCATGCGGGGTATTGGGTATTTAAATTAAGATAATGCTCAGAAAACACTTTGAAAAATGATATTATAAAAAAGTAGAGTGTACTTGTCTCTTCAGTTAACATATTTCACATATTTCTGCTGTCTTGTTCTCATTAATCAGAGTAAAATATGTCAAAAATTAATCAATTTATGAAGTCGTTCTAGAAGTATGTACTTGTACATTTCCTTCCTTTTATTATTTTTAAACAGGGATTTATTTAAAGGAATGATTGACAAGGTTAATGACATGAGGGGAATATTTTTATAAGGGTATTTGTTTGGATTTTTTGATATTTCCACTATTGATTATCATATTTTCACCAGTTCCTGCAAAGTTTTCTAGTATACTTTAGTTTTCTGGAAGTATTTCAGAAACTAGGAGACAACTCATTAGATCTGACACTTAAATATTTCAAACAGCAAATTTTTCTTTTGGACTGGTTTATAAACTGGATTTTTGGATAGTCATTAGAATTTATCATCAAAGCATCTATTACCAATTCATCAGTGAAATTTGGGTGACCTTTTGTTACACAGCCAAAGTTATTAAAAGTGCAGCTTGCAGCTTGCTGTGTATGACTGTGTAACACTAAAACCAAATTCAGTTTTTGGGGCTTTTGTCCATGAGAAGAACAGTAAAAACAAAGCCATATGGGCTTTCTAAATGAAGACATTTAGTGTATTTTATGTTGTATACTATCTAGTCTAGCAGGTGATGTTGTAAGGAGGGGCAGATTTGAAGAGTCAGCACTCTGTGTTTTGATCTCTCAGTGTTGCCAAACACAGACACAATTCCTTCGACACAATTCTTGTCACCAAAACCAGATTTCTGTGCCAATGACAGCAAGCTTATAATACCCTCAATACAGTACCAGTAGGCTGAGTTAGGGGTGATTAAATCTGGTAATCTGTGGAAGCTAAAAAGAGATATAAATGCTCAGTATATGGATTCATGTGCATACACAATACATAAATGTCAGCTCATTTTTAAAGGGGAATAACATATTTTGAATTTATTCACATGGGCTTCCTAGTTAGAAATGTACTTTCAGGCATTGCATCTTTCATGGTGAAAAATAACTATAACAGCAAACTTATCTCATTATTAGATCTTCAATAGGTATTTTGGTCCTGTGTACTGCAAAAACAAGACAACGAAATTTCTTTGAAGAGCCTAGAAAGGACCAACAGTGTTACAAAAAAAAAAGTTCTTCAGATGAAAGTGAAGCATTGCAATGCCTTGTTTCCACAGAGCTGGCCACATGCAAATATTGAATCAGAGGTTGAGCTAATTAAATGTACAAAGTCCTTGCACTTTGTGAAGAGCTCCAAACTGGGAGGCTAAAATAAGAGATGTCATACTAATATTTGAATGTAAAAACAAACATATGCAACAGTCTGAATAAGTAAATAATTTACCTGGAAACTGCAGAGACAAGACACATACATGACAATATCCTTGTCTCTTGTTATTGTAAAAGTCAAAATGTATATATATTTATTTTAACATCTTTATACAAAGAAGGGGAAAAGAGGAAACCTGACTTTCATCTGGTAAGTACTGAACCAAAGTGATCTATAGAGATGTTGCGTCTTTAGACTTATTGTCTTATTATTATTGATTTCAAAAATAATATTGCTATTAATATGGACAATGATAATAATGGATAATCAGAAGCAGGTGAGAACAGCAGGTGATCTGGGAGATGGCTTTAGAAATCCCAGATGCTGGGCCCTGAAAGATTGTGCTGAGATTCAGCTGCAGGAAGGGAAGGCAATTTCCAGCTGTGCTATCCAGATGGACATCAGAACTAGAATTTTGTTTTATGAACCAGCTCTGCATTTTCATGGAAAATCAGCTAGAAATGGTTTAAGAGATGTGTAAAAGACTTGAGATGGTAGCTCAGTTTATTTTAAAATATCCCATAAAGTGGGTTTTGACAACAGCTAGTCCCAGAGTTTTCTGTTTACTGCAAAGTTGTATTTTGTAGGCTGTAAGGACTCAAAGATTTAAGGAGAGGCAGAGGAGCTTGTCTGGTTATCAAAGTCTGGCAAATAGTGAAGAAAAAAATCCCGTGGGACACAAGTAAGGGCAAGAGATTTTTCCAGTTTGGATTTTCATCACATGATCTTTGCATTCTTGAAGGTCTTTAGAAAAGTTTTGTGAATTAGGTCTGGAGAGAGTCCAAGCAGCTCCACTGGTACTGTTCAGTAAAAATACAACCATGGTGAAACAAAGAGATTTTAACTAAGATTTGTGTTGAAAGGTGCTTTTGGAAGATGTGAGGCACAGTTCTTTGTGCAAAATCTTGCAGAACAAAACTTCATAAGGCTGAAAACCTCTGTGTTAGTGCAGTCATAGTCAAAGATATACACAAACTTCATTTTTGAAGAAGAAAAAAATCCAACATTCCTGATAGGTGCATGTGTGGGAAAATAGTGTGGAGAAAAATGAAGTTTAATGTAAATAGGATTGTTTTAAAGCAGCATTTAAGAATATGATGGAATTGCTTAAATATTATTTTTCATATATATAGACCATAAATACTTTTAGGAAAATACCTTCTAAAAAGTACCTTTTTTATGCCTAAACACAATTTTGTTCAAAGGCAGAAGACTGAAAAAAATTTGTGTAAGAACAAATATGACTTTTACTGATACTTGTGATACTTCTGATACTCAAAAATGAAGTTATCTTTTAAGATTCACTGCCTGGGTCATTTTAGAGTAAGTAATGGAAAATATTTGATTTATGGCCATAGTTGTTAATTTACAGGATATCTTTTGTTTCATTATATAAAATGAAGGGATACAAATTATACTTCTCCTAGTGCAGATCATTCATAATGCATGTTACATCACAAGTTTTATCTCACCTAGAACTATACCCAAACACTTTTTAAAATTCTATTTTCAATAGTTCTGCAGCAAATCATCCACGGTATTTTATTTATTTATGCCTTCCCTCAAATAGTCCTTGCTTCAGTATCTTTCATTTTTAAATGAAATAAAATTTTACTGGGCCATGTCTGGGAGACGCTTGTGTCTAATAATTTCATTAGCTTTTCCCTGATGAATTTTGTAGACTTCACTTCTTCCACTGAGATGGGCTTCTATGGATCAATTAAGTGCAGTCATTCCCTAAGTGGAAAATCAAATTAAATGCAAGACAGGAAAATAGAATGGTTAAACACTTAAGCACTTTGCTGTGAGATTGGAGTGGGTTTGTGAGGAGAGCAGTCATCTTTGGAAGATGTTACTGTCCAATTTTGCTTTCCTTTCTTGTTTGTGTATTCTGACACCCAAAATACTGACAGCTGTTGATGCTTTAACAGTTGCTGCTGTGAATAGAACTGACTTGTTGATTGTACTGGGGGAAAAGATTTACCTCTTCCCAAAAAGGAGTACCTGAAGTGTTACACTGAAACCTGGGAAAGGCAGTCCTGTCTCCTGGCAGTGACCCAGGAAAACACTTAGGGAAACAGGAATTCCTGTTTTGTTGTCCTGTCCTCTGTAAATAACAGACCAAACCCAACCTGTGGCTCATGGTGCTGCTTTGCACATGGAGTCCTGAAAACAATTTCTGTGCATTCAGTGAAACAAACCAAAACTCTCAATTATATTCAAATTATATATATTGTCTTATTTATATTCACAGAGAAACCAACTGAGTATAATCTCATCTTATCTATATAATAGAATTTTTGAAATATATTTTTTTAGTGCTATGGAGACATTTCCCAATTAAATAAGCAGCTGTTAAGTACCTAGGACATGTTCTGATATTATGCCACAGCATATTTGAAAGTCCACATTTATAAATGCCTAAAGAGAGAGAAATAAATTTTACAGTGTTTCCCTGTCTTTACTAACTGTCTTTACACCAAGCACTCTCAATTGGAAAATATGTCAAATCCTTCATAAAAAGTTTTTGACCCCTACAGAGGATTGTTCTTAGTCTCTTTTTTGTACATAAATTAAGTTTGGAGCTGTGAGTGTGGGTAAAGCCTTAGGGCTCGTTGGACTGCAGCTGAGATACCTAAGGCTCTATGTCAAGGCACAGAGATTCTCAGATATTATCCACTGATTAGAAAGTAATGTTTTAATTTGAGGCTTGGAGTCCAACTGCTCTTTTATTTAGTTTGATATCCTCCTTGTTTGCCTTTCTGGCATCAGGCCACAGACATTACTGAAGCTTCTCTCTCTTAGTAAAAATAAATCTAGAAAGTCTCATAAAATTGTTTAAGAATTCAGGTTTGCCATTAAAGGTGGTGCAATTGATGCCATTTGGATGATAGAATTCAGATATCATTGGATATCACTGGAGAAATTGTCACACATTCACAAAAGAAAAATTCAATGTTCTCTCTAGATTTCTCTGCATTACCCATTTTTAGAGCATAAAATGAATAATGCTTTTCTATTAGGAGAAATCAGTGAGTTATCATTTATGAAAGCAATTCACCTGCAGTGTGGAAATTGAGAACTGTTTGTTTGCTCATCAGGTGTAAAAGTTTTTACACCTTTTTAATATCTAGGTGTATATTACCTAAATGGGAGATGGGTCTGTTTTAACTTACATAGACATCCAGAATATTGGACTTTTATCACAAGTTTACTCAAAGTTAGGAGTTATGAATAGTTTGGAAACAACATCTGAAAAGCTGCTATTCCAAACAGGAGAGAGGCACAGACACTGAAGTAGAGCTCCTCCTGAAGGTACTGTGTGCTCTCTGAGATTCTTTAGGGGTCTGTTCCAAATATTTGAGGTTCTCAATTAGTTTAAAAAAATACTCAAAGTAGACTCATAGTGTCATTTAATTAATAATTTCATATCAAAATATCCTGTAGTGGTTATATTCTAAATGCTGAAGGCAGAAATGTTCCATGTTTCTGAAGAATATTTCCACTTAGCAGTGAATAGTTACTCAAAATTAAGCAGACAAGAAGACTGAATAATGCATAAGATCTGTGACACAAGCAGAAACATAATTCCTTTTTCCAGGACCACACTCTAATGCTTTATCCATAAGATTATCTTTTGCTGTCAAGAACATTTATCTAAAAATGGAATAGAAGAACTAGAAAAGATAGAAGGGAAATCAAAGGAGTTATGGAATGGTTTCTGTATGAAGAATAATTTTATAGACAAGGACCCTTCAGAACGAAAGAGAGAGTACTGAAGGGAGAATATGACATAAGACAGTAAAATCAAGATTGCAAGAAAGGAAATGAAGAATGTCTCATAAAAAAGGAGGGAGTGATTGTTAACTGGAACAAAGTAGATGCTTATTCACATCATGGGCAGATAAAGAGTGAATCACATTTGCATAGGATGTTGTGGCATTAGACTGGTTCTAAAATGATCACAAATATTGATGAGATAAAAAGCAAGCAAGAGCTATTAAATATAACTAATTTAAGCACAACGGCATTAATAAAGATCCGTTGTTGATATTTAACATTTATTCTGACTCAGAAAATCCATAAAACATAGCAAAATAGAAGCTGCCAGAGAATCCAGCAGAATTTGAGTACTCTGACTCTGAATGCTTCTCCAGGCACCCTCTGCTGGCCACCCTGAAATGATGGGCTACTGAGAAAGACATAACTTTGGAACTCACTTTTACTAGGAATGATTGTGTAGGGTGCTGCTGGCACATTAAACAAGGTATTAGAATGAGAAAATCAAATGTTTATATCTCAATGTTTAAAATTAGCAGTGATACTTCATGGGTACATGAACATCATCTGTGTGGATTATTATTCAAATCTCTGTTGTCTAAAAATTATTTAATTTTTATTATTTTAAAGAAAACTATCCATAGAATTATATCAGCAGCAGAAATATGTCAGTTCTACCAGGAAGTATTTTTTTTATTGCTCCTTCCAGATAAGGTAGAGAACTTTGCTTTGTGGCATTGATCATGTTTTCTGTTTTACTTCTGCCTGAGAACTTTGTTGGAATGATAAGACTTTGCTCTTTAAATTACTTAAAGCTTGCAGTCTGGCAGGTTTTGCCTATCTGTTCTTTCCTGAAGCAGGTTTCAAGGGAATAAAGCTGCACATAAAATGAACAAGATGTACCTTATCAGTGGTCCTGAAACAAATGGGATAACATTCTGTAAAAGCCTATCTATATATATGAAATAAAACTGGCCACCAATAAGAGGGATTTTGAGCTGTAATATTGGTATCTATTGTATGATTCCAGGTAGTCCTGAATCCTGTCTTGGAGAATGACCAATGTAGGCTGCCTAGGGACCAGAGCAAAGAAAGAGCAGGGACACAGTGATATGTCCCAGCATGGTCTCCCAGTCTCCATTTTGCTGCTCAGGGACTGTCTGACCCAGGGATGGCTGTAAGTAATGTATAATTAATAATTCATTGTGGTCTTCCACTTTTTGTGAACTTGTTCTCTTTTCCCTTGGCATTGTGTAGCTTTTTAGCAGCCACCACATTGTCTCCCCTCTTGTCCCTTTCCTCACCATTCACCCCTTTCAAAAATATGACAACCGTGCTCAACACAGAGTACAAAACAAAATGTGAACATGTGCACCAAATACTTCTAATATGACTAGCTGTAATGTTTATGTTGAAAAACAGAATATTTCAGGACAACAGTGATAAACTTTGCTGTCAAATTTTGCATTCCATCATGACTTTTCACATGTATCCTCTGAAATTATTAATCTAATAAACAGTGCTTATTTTTACATTGTTTGTTTTGTTGAAAAGGATCTCGGGTGAAGGCACAATATTGAAGAAGTTTGTGCTTGGTGACATTGGGTGCCTACTAAGCTCTTAAAATGCTGAAAAGAGAAGAACAATTGAAAAACAATCCAACCAGCCTCCTTCCCCCAATTATGTTTCTCTCCTTTCTCTGGGAAATCATGTGGTTTCATGAAGAGGACCAAGACAAACACCTAAAATGAAGTGCTGCATAGATCACTTTCAGATGTAGTTTGAGACATTATCAAAGCCCATCACTAAAATATCATTCAGCCCATCAAAATGTTTCTTTGACAGAAACAGGACTTTTTCCAGAAAGATTTTAGAGCTGACATATTGCCAGCTAATGTTTTAATCTGAGGTTTAAAAAAAAACAGGACAAAGATGAGTGAGAAATTCTTGGATAAAGCAGACTCGTTACCTGGTAGGTTCAATTTAATGGTTGTACTTCAAATACCATTTGCAATATTCTAGGACTATGAAATGCATGTTTGATCAGAAAATTTGTACTAATACTTCTATGTACTTTTTGTGTGTAAAGGATTTTAAATATGCTAACACTGGATTTTTCTTGTTAGATAACTACTGATTTTTCTTATGCCCAAATAGGATGGCCAAATTCTAGCTTACTCTTAAAAAAAAAAATTGACAAAGGACAGAATTTTAGGTAATATTGAGCACCTATAGCCTTTTTACACAAGCATTATTATGTCTAAAAGTATTAAACTTCTAGTCTTTCTACTGTAGAAAAATAGTAAATAGTTCCCACTGCCATTTTGAGTGGCAACCCATACCTGGGTTCCAAACAAGTTTTATTTAAAAATATTTTAAACCACAGTGACAGCAAGTGTCTTCTTTATCCTCATGCATTCCAAAGATGCAGCTTAGCAATTGAGTTTTTTAGGTAGATGAGAAGGGAGAATATTTCACTTCTAGCCATGATTTGCACCTCAGCATTGCAGATCTCCAAGATTTTATGTAAACCTAAGTATGTATATGTATGAGAATAAAAAGCAGAAGAAAATGAAATACAGCAGGAAATATAGATGTAGTTTTTCACCCCAATTAGCTTCATTTTTTATTTCTTGAATAAAAAACACCTGTCTTTGAGGTTTAAGAAATTAGTGATTTTCTAACTTTTCATAAAGGTTAACCCAAAAGTTTGAAGACTTTGCTGCATCTCTCCTGACAGAGTCCTACATTTCTTCCAGTTTCTAATCTCAAATTTAGAAAATAACTATGCAAAAATAAATTGTCCTTTTATTTCCTTCTTAGGTTGATTGCAAAAGTTTGTGATTTAAAAGTGATAAGCAGTTCAGTCTGGAAAAATTGAGATTTCTAAAATCTCATCCTCACTTGGACTTTCTTTATAAATTTCTGTATTTCTATAGTATAAAAGGGAGGAATATTTATACATATGCATATAATCTTTCTCCAGTACCAATGCATGCTAACATTAATGCTTGAGAGCTACTTTTATCTCTTGTCTCTTTGGGTAATTGCTGCTTTTTTGCAGATAACAATCTGTTGTGGATTTCACATTAATAAAGTTATTTCAAATGAGACCAGTGCAGTGGTTCAAAAAACTGAGTTATTTTTGAGGTAAAAGTAAGAAACAGGACTCAAAGGCTGAAGATGCTCCAGCCTGGGACCTGGAGGACGTCCTCACCCAGTTCTGTGTGGCATGGGAAGTGGGTTTCCTGGCAAAAGCAGGGAATTGAAGCAGTTCTAAAACTGCTATTGTGTAAAATCTCTTTTTCTCCTTCAATGCAAAATCTTTTTCTCTCTTTAAATATTTCTAAAGTAATTTGTTTGAAAAACAAAACCAATGGAAAATAAAAACAATAGAAAACAATAGAATATAAATCCATAGGAACTTTGTGAGTTGATCAACAATAGGGAAACATATTGACTTTCAAATATTTAGATATTCCTCCATTTCTTCCAGTGAAAAAAAATGTCAGCAAAGGCATCAGTCAGGATTAGAAGAAATGTTCAGAAACATCTGAAATTAATTTTATTCAAAATGGTTAGGAGAAAAATGCTTCTTTATGTTACAACATATCTTCTATAAGATAATCTTAGCAGGAGATATGATGAAATTCCTTGTGGGTCTTATTTTACTTAGGGCTAGAAAGGTAAGAAATGTGCAGTAGAGTTTTTCAGTGTCAGGATGCAGACCAAAGGTCTTATAGCCTTGTGATTCTACATAATGTTCTTCAGAAAAATTACTTCCCTCTGCTCTTTTTTTATCTAATCCAAAATAGATGACACCAACAAAGCAGCGTGCTGTGCCCTAAACTTTGTGTTCTTGCCACCTACACAGGTAGGAATATTTTATTTTCAGCTGCCTTCATTTTACTTCCTAGAGATTCACTCAGGAGACACTGTTAATGTTGACGAGGAGCCTGGTGTCACCGAGCTCGTGCTGCTAAAGCCAGAAGAGAGACAGGCTGTTCTGAGGCCTGATTGAAGATTAAATACATCTCACATCTAGACTGGGAGGTTTTGACTTTGAAACCAGGAGAAGGTGCAGTGACTCAATGTGAATCAGAGATGAGGCACTCATGGCTGCCTTCCAGCATTAATGAGCATTAATCTAGGATGCTCTTACATATACATTTGCTTATTTCTAATGAAAATAAGGTTCTTTAAACAATTGCAGTTGCAGAAATAATATTTGGAGCAAGTCGGTTTTAGAGTTATTCACATTATAAGGACATCATCTCATCTTTTACTTGTCAAAATCCAACTGGCATCCAAAGTGAAGAATTGATTTAATTTGTTTGAAAAGTTGGAAGTGTAAGAGGTAGAGATTGCAGTAAAACATCCAGTGAAAGCTAGCACTGGTGCAGTGCTGTTTTATTTTCATCATTGCCTCATTATATTCACAATATATTTTGTTTTTATGAATCAAAAATTAGAGATAAGGACTCCTAATTGTTGTTGCTATGAGATAGAAAAAAAAAAATCATCTGTTTTGTATTGCTGGCTACAGATGATTCAGTGGATACCAAGCTTTGAGGGCAGGGTATCAGATAAAACACCAGAAAGAAAAAAAATTCTCCTTTACTGACAATCAGCTTACACACACAGTGCTAGGTGATATCAGAGTGACAATTCTGCATGCCAGGTGCTGAATGAAGAGACAGGACCAACCAGCCATTTCCACTTTGGACTCAATCGAAAGACCACCCAGTGGATGCTGTCAGATACAGTCAGGTTTTGTAGATTGATATGCAATTCCTTGCTATTTCAAAGAATAAGCAATTTGAGCAAAAGTTCCTGCTGTTACTAGTTATCTTTCAGGATTCAAGTTTTCCCTGACAAGAGAACTTTTTCAACACTTTTCTGCGTTGCTCATCATTCCTCAGAGCAAACGAAGCCATACACACAGACTTGTTTTATTGCTGTTTTTGCTGTGCCCAGCAGAACTCTATGTGACATTCCTTCATTTGACTTGAATTCTACATGAAAACAGTTTCTTGGGATAGCAAGGTATTTATGTATGTAATATTCCTCCTTTACTAGTGTCTAACTAATTAGGACAACCTTGGAAGTAGCTGTCAAATTTCTTCATTTGCATTCGTTTATTTCCCTCAGATCACAATCCCACCTCCTTCCTTGCTGCTGTGACAAGTCCATTACTGGGTCCCACCCAGCCTTTTGGTGTCAGCCAGGCATCCCACGCTTCCTCTGCACTCAAGGGAACATCTCCTGGGCCAGCCTAAGCCTTTGTGGAACAGTCTTACTGATGCCTCAAGTTTTAGCTTTCATATTTTCAGATTCTGTACTGTATTGGTGTGTGACTCTGAACTTCACATAAAGTGTTAGCAAGTTCTCCTCACTGTTTAGTCAGACAATCCTTTTCCAGCCTGAGAACCAAGAATACTGCTGCAGCTTCAGGCCCAAAAAGTGTAAACAACAGTGAAATGAGGAGAGCAATCTGGGAGGATGGGACTTCATAATCTAAAGCTCTGATAAAACACTTAATCCCAATATGTAAAACTTATAAAAGTGTGACAACTTGTGACCAGTTGTTAATCTTGGGTTCATCTTGGGCAGAGCCATGGCCGGGCTCTTGTACTGCCCAAGGTGTGTCCTTTGAAGGCCATTTAATATTTATTCCTTTAACTCTCTCTAGCCTCTGTTCTAGGTAGCCTCCCAAGGCTTTATACAGAATTCTAAACAGGTCCCAAAGTCTGTATGAATACTCATATGCACCGTATCTCTATTCCTGGAATGATCCAGAAAGGCATTTATATATTCTGAGTAAATTCATTCCAGTTAACACAGCTGAAGGGTTGAAGTTTCTTTGTGGTTTGATTTGTTTCATCCAAGGGTTCATCAGCTGGTAAAAGGACAAAGCTGAACATGATATGAAAATGCTAAATGACTACTTCCAAATGTGGGGTACTTATGTGTAAGCATTTTATTTTAGGATTGTGCAGTGTAATTTTAAATTATTATTTTATTCAAAACCTAAAATTTGAATTGCATTATTTTACAGCTGTGTCAACCTAAATCTTTAATAATAGATTGAATGAAAGGATGAAAATCTCTTTCTTTTTTTGTCTACTCACTATGTACTATTTGAATAATATGTTCTTTTAAAGAAGAGAGTTTGTA